TATATATATAAATAAATTAAGTGTTTTTTTCTTACACCCCAATGGAACATATATTAAAAAACACACACACACATATTGCATATAAACCTATAAAGTAATCCAAAACCACAACCTGCTCTGGAAAAGGTTAAGAACATCTATCTGTCACATCTGTTTATGTATAATTAATGTTCATGTATTTATGTTTAATGCATTTAATACAGGCCTACCAGGTCAATGCCACAATTTCTAGTCATGCAAGTTAATAAAATCTATAAAAGTACATGATTTTATTTATAAATTTAATATGTTGCCTTTAACTTGATAGATTTACCAAAATATTTTTTTTTTGTCATACTGTGATATGATATCGATATCGTCTGGACAAATTCATGATGTGAGTTTGATACTCGTATCGCTGACCCCTGACTGAACACAGATCTGTGACAAACTAAAAATAGCTTAAACATCCAAACGCAAAGACTGGAATGCAGACTGACCTCTCTGGCCACATTACTGGTCTTCACCTCCTGTATTACAGCTCCATAGACAATATAATCCACCGCATCTTTAGGGATCCCAGTTCTTTTCAGCAAACCCCTGAAACAAAACACGCTTTGAAAATCTGTTTCAGAATCACCAGCACAGCTTTATGTGTGTTTATATATACAGTTAAAGCCAAAATTATTTGCCCTACTGTGATTTTTTTTTCTTCCCCAAGTAATGTTTAACAGAGAAAGGAATTTTTTACAGTATGTCTGATAATATTTTTTCTTCTGAAGAAAGTCTTATTTGTTTTATTTTGGCTAGAATAAAAGAAGTTTTTAATTTTTTTAGAAAACATTTCAAGGTCAATATTGGCCACCTTAAGCAATATTTTTTCAGAATGTCTTCAGAACAAACCATCGTTAAACAAGGGCTTGCCTAATTACCCTAATTTGCCTAACTAATCTAGTTAAGCCTTTAAATGTCACTTTAAGCTAAATGCTAGTATACTGAAAAATATCTAGTCAAATATTATGTACTGTCATTAGGGCAAAGATAAAAGAAATCAGTGATTAGAGATGAGTTATAAAAAAGTTTTAAAAATCTTTCTGTTAAACTGAATTTGGGGGAAAAAATATACAGGGGGTTAATAATTCTGACATTGTGTGTGTGTGTGTGTGTGTGTGTGTGTGTGTGTGTGTGTGTGTGTGTGTGTGTGTGTGTGTGTGTGTGTGAATATGAGTGTGTGTGTGTGTGTGTGTGTGTGTGTGTACGTGTTTTTGTGACATATCAGGACATAAATCTGTATAATGACATGGGTACGACAGGTATTACAAGAATTTGGTGAAATATGATGACATTGCTAATGTCCTCATTTCTAAAAAGCTTATAAATCACACAGAATGAGTTTTTTTTCAGAAAGTAGAACTGTCCAGTTTCCTTTGAAGCTTGGGTTTATGGGTAGAGTTAAGGCAATAAAAAATTCAGGTTGTACAGTATAAAAACAATGGAAAACCATGCAATGTCCCCACAATTCTCAAAAACAAACAGGTGTGTGTGTATGTGCGTGGTCTGGATGTGTCTCTGCAGTGTTTTTCTCAGTGAAAACAGCAATGCAGTGCTTCTTGTTTGGTCTGATACCCACTTTATATCATATCTGAGTCAGGCAATGATGTTTTTAAAAAAAAATCAAATCTTAAACACAGTGATTTTGTATGGGATGACAAGTCACCGGAAGCCCTGGGGCTGGCTGACTAAAATTAAAAGTCTGTGTACAAAAACCCCATTTATTGCATCCTCATGACTTTTTTTCATTGGAATAATGTTTACCATTCAATAAAAGGCCAGCAGTGTTTATTCAAAAGCTCAGATGAATTTTAATCTGCTGCATTTTATGATAATTTTACACCGGACTTATAGGAGCTGTTTATTTCACATGCTTCATTTCAGCAGATGCACATTTGAAAACACTATTAGTTTGCACGAGATGTGAGTTCCCACTGTGTACTGTGAGGTTGCTGAGTAATAATCCAGTA